GGCGAAATGTCTAGGAATCTATCACGACAACAAGCGATGCTGGAAATTAGCATGAATATTATGACTGAAGGCTCAGGGCTATGTACATCCACAAGGTTTTCCTTTCGCACATAATAAGTTACGAAAACGAGGGCAGACTAAAACTGTACAGCCAAAGGAGACTGTAACCAAACCTAAGGAAACATCATATTTGTCTTATTATCTAATAGTAAATTTATTACTTCTATAGCATTGTCAATTTTTATCTTAGATCTCATTAATATATATAGCACAACTGCGAACCACGCCCATATGAAGAATAAGTGAAATAAATAAATTGTATAAGAGACAAGCACATTAAAAGATGAATAGGGCTAAGCCACTAGAATATAGTTTAAATAAAACTTATAGAGAAATTGAAGTTAAATTCATGTAAAAATGCAACGAGATTAGCTACAATGCATAAAATGGCAGCAGAGGCCATTGATGTAAAGTAGTGCTTCAAATTCTAGGCTGATAATTATATTATTTGCATCAAACTCAACACCCCTGATCGTGAAGAACGAGAGTAAGCAAATGCTTCATAAATCTATTTAGTCATTGTTAGAAATAATGCATGATGCTAGCAGTAACTCGACATGCCATTAGTGAACTCCAAGGAAATTTCAGACAGCCTATGTTAGCCTCATATGCAAAGCAGTGGACGGATATTTTCGGAAATTTATACCTGGAACAAGAACTTGGATTTGCCTTTTATCCTTAAATTGTAAGAATAAAACGATCCATGCTTTGGATTAGACGTACATATTTGCCAATATTATATCAAGGTGATCTCAGATCCTGACCAATGTAAAAATAAATGCCTTGAGGGCGAATTATGAAGAGCGCCTAAAATGTAAAGGCTGCGTACCTCTCATCTAATAACTGAGTCTCATTGATTGCTTTGATTATGGTTATTTTTAAATAGCATCTTGCTTTGATGGCCCCTAATATGGCATTCGAATAAAGGTAAACCGAAGAATATCTAAAACAACGATATAGTAAAGAAAAATAGCAAAACTGTCAAAGCGATCTTTTGATGAAGGGATTCATAAAGTGGTTTTAACGAGGAAGAACTAGAGATGGCTTTAGCTAGCTTAATAGAAGGCCAAATTATTTGAATTTGAATGGCCAAAATTCTCAAACATCTTTCTCAAAATACTTTGCATCATATGTACTTGAACATATTCATAGGATATACTTGAGTCAAGGTAACATGCCAATGGATAATGTTAAGAGATACGAATTTCAAGAAAATTCAGGAATGACTTGAGATGCCAATATTTTGCTATTCTAATTGAAATTTAGGACGAATGCTAAAGGGAATGTCGATTAATATGATTATACTACGGAAATCTGATCTGCGCCAAGTCGTTTAGAGCCCCAAAGTTTAGTGTAACATAGTCTTTAGGTCATATTCACAGAAAGCTTAGTCTACGTCTGGTTGATAATACAAACCTATATATAATTGCGTAAGAATTACAGTTAATGCAAGAGAGGTGGCGTAGAGAAATAATGGATTTTAATAACCAAGTTCCATGACCAATAAATCGATATTTCTAGTCATTATTTTGTATCGGTAGGATGAGAATCGGTCGAGAGTGGCATTCAAATAAAAAGTTATATGGGACGTCTAGAAGCAGGAAACACAAGAAACATTGCGGCACTAACAATGAGGTATGTAGAAATACCGCACAGAAAAAAGTATGGTAGAGACAATGCAAACTCACATGGCAGTAAAGGTTTACAACCGTCATTTTCGCAATTGATTTGCTGAAATACAGATAGGTGAATAGAAATGCTTTTATATTTGTAAGCAATAGTCAAGATTAGCACTCGAAGTCCAAATTTTATGGACATAACTACGCTATCTTCTTGTATTACAAGAAAAGATCAAATTTTTATAGAAGACTTGACTAAAATTGATAAAAGTATCTGAAAGCAAACCTGCATAAATTCAGTTTAAAATAAATCCGAATTCAGTTCGGTTTAAATATATCCATCTTTATGGCATACTCAGAAAACAAAAGAACTTTGTGCA